TAGTTTTTGCTTGATTTTTGAAGATTTTTTAAGGCTTTTAAAAATCCAAGGAGATAATATGTCTTTTGTTTTTAGAATTATTTTACACAATGGAAAATTTACCTCATAGTCTATGATGTAAATTTTCCATTGAAATTTTCCATATGTAGTCTATGATAGGCTTCATAGAATATTTTTAAAAAGGTGCTGCTGATAGTGTTTATATTAGAATCAAAATTTATATGGTTCCAGTCTGTTAGTGAAACCTGTTCTTTAAAGGAGATTAAATTTATATTATTGTATTTTCGCTTTTTAATGTTACTTTTTCTCTGTTCAATTATATAGAATCTACGCTTATAGAAAAAAATTTAGGAAAATGATCGGAGACGTCAGTTTTAATTGTTGCCTTTTTTGGTGATTTATTGAAAAAATCAGTGGTTAAGATATTGTCAATTAATGGCGATGAGAAGTTGATTATCAGTATTTTTCCTATTTTGAATAAGTTGTTATAGAAAAATATGATATTTTCATTTTCGTAATAGTTAAAACATTTTAGATTGAAATCTCCAATAAGATAAATTTTTTTCTTTTCTAGATTTGAACCTGAATAAATTTGTTAAAAATGCATTGACTGGTTACATTATGATTATAAAAAATATTTCAATAAAATAAAACTTCTCTGTTTTGTTTTATATGGAAATAGAAAACTAGATAACAACAAACAATGGTTTGTTGTTACCTAGTTTTTTATTTCCATTCCAAAAATTAAGTCCTAGTTTTCTATTTCCATTCGCAAAAATTAAGTCGGCGTTTTTTGAGAAGGAAAAAGTCTAAACATAATATTTTTCTTCAGATCTCTCTGTGAGATATACTCACACTATACAGTGGCAGATTGATGTTTATGTTGTAGGGGTGGGGTGGGGGTGGGGGATAAAGTATGAATAGGGAATGAATAAGGTAGGGATCGGGGTTGGCATATTAACCCCCAGAAACATTTTTTCTCGAGAATTGCACTTGTTATAAATATATGGATGTTTTTATGTGCCTTTTGCCATAACTATTAAGTATGTCTAAGACACTAAACAATCTAAAGTTTGAGTTTGCTAAGTTTTGTTTGGTTAGTTAGTATTGTTGAATAAAAAAGAAACAAAAATTTAATGTTATTGCAATGGTTCGGCTATTTAAAAATGTATTTACACTAGACATATTACTCAATGCTAGCTTGTACAGTTTTTCCTGTTTTTTTATACAATTTTTTTTCTTCGAGATTTTATTTTTCAGCGGGTACAGAATGTTGTTAGACGTCATAAGGACATCGTACGAAGTTGTGATGACTATAAGACAGTGTATAGACGTCTTACGAACGTCTGTGCACGCTGGGTTGAAGCAAGATGATATATTGACAATTTATAGTCAATGCTCTCAGCAATCTTACCTTTAATTAAAGTTAATGCCAACTACCCAGCGAGCACAGACGTCAATCAGATGTCTTACGGACGTCTTAACTAGGTCGCGACGTCTCAGACCAAATTAGGACGTCCTAAAGACGTCCGGTAGAGACGTCTTTGTTAGGACGTCAAAGTGACGTTAATATAAAGACGATATTAGGATTTCCGTATTTAGACGTCCTATTGACGTCGCTAAGACCTACATTAGACGTCCTAATTACCTTAAAAATAAGTTAAAAAATTTATATTAACAACTTGGCGCATACAATATTATGCGCTAACTCGGTTAATTAAAAATGTCTACTTGTTTTGGTTAATATTAATAATGATATTATTAATTTTGTTTAGTTATTTATCGTTTAAAAATATTTTTCAATTTTCTATATTCTATACTCTATGATCTATAAACTATAATCTATACAATTTTTAAATTAAAGAAAATTTAGTTTAGTTATTAAGTGTAACTAAGTTACAATTATAATGTATATATATATATATATATATATATATATATATATATATATATATATATATATATATATATATATATATATATATATATATATATATATATATATATACATATATGCAATGTATATATATATATATATATACATATATGCAATATATATATATATATTATATATATATATATATATATATATATATATATATATATATATATATATACATATACATATATGCAAAGATTTGTAATATCTTGCTGTAAAAATAAGTAAATAAATAAATTGTATATATTTTGTTGTTCACGTGTTGTTTCATTCAATTTGATGATTTTTCCTTTGATGGGGTTGATGAATTTGATGGGTTGTATATACAATTTTAAGATTATTACTTATGTTGATACCTCGTTACTGTATTGTTTTGTTTAATTTAATAATTGTTCCATTGTGGGATGTATATATAATTATTTATACATGATTTATACATTATATTATAATGTTTACATAATGTATACATATTCATTATATATATATATATGTATATATATGTATATATATATATATATATATATATATATATATATATATACATATATATACACATATACA